TTCACATTTTACTTGTGAGCAACGGCACATTTAAATCTTACAAATATAGTTATTTGGCTTATATCGTGATATATATCGTTACCGCCTGAAATGAAAAGAACATATTGTGATATGAAAAAATCTCATATCGCCCTGCTCTATATAAACCTAAAGGTTAACCGACAGTCACAGTCTTAAGGATTCTTTACATTTACAGCTCAAAGTGACATACAGGGTGTCTCCAGGTACAATTAAGTGAAACATGATGTGAAATTTAGGACTAAACTTGCCATGGAAGCAGACAAACCGGAAATATACTTATTTAACCAAGTGAACACATGCATGCCACTTCAAAATGAACAGTAAAGTAAAATGAAAGCATTTGGTTAAGCTTAAAAACTCCAACTGTGTTAACTTAACTGATAAAGATAGACAAAGGCAGACAGCCTTGACCCAAACCTCCTGGCCATAGGCTGTGAGAACATGTGGTTTTTGGCTTTGCTCTCCCAAGTCTTGGCAATCGTAATAATCACATAATAACTCGAGCTGTTCCAAAATAAACCAATTTCTCTTTCTGCAGAACATACAGGCTGATGTAGCATTAACCCGATGTTCATTTTTGTCCTACACGATGTGCCCTCGTCCCAGTTTTGAAACACATGGAGCATGTTTCTTTGTATTTCCAGGCACCAGTTACAACAAGTATTATTTGTTTCTTTAAGCTAGTGAGCAAGCTGGTGGAAATCTGAATCAAATTAAAGACTGTGAAGCTCTAAAGTGTCTTTCATATTATTTCATCTGCCTTTACAAAAGGATTAGATACACAGAGGAAAAGGTCTCAAAGCATGTGATGACAAAAGAAGGCAAACCCCGAACCTTTAAAGCATGCATCCCCACAGTGTCTGCAGTTCATCAGTGACAGAACAGAGTTTACTAAAGCATACCACAGAAGGTGTAAATCAGAAGCTACCCCTTCTCCCTAAAAGCTCAAAGGCAGAGTCCTGTTTTACAACTCCAGATGTTAAGATCTTACCACTGCAAATTCAAGGTCCTTAA